TTCAGGTGCAAAACAGAGAGGGGGCCAAGCCATTTGGTCACCTGAGTAGTCATTAGGAAGCCAGCTGCAAACTTGTAGTTCCCTCCGGGATCACGGATGAGCCCCACTGGCCCTGCCAGGAGAGCTTCTCTTTACAACAAAGCTGTTACTTTCATGTTGTTGGCACAGATGCTTGCTCTGTGGATAACTCAACCCTTGGGTGCCCTAGTGTGGTTATTTGCGGTGGGTGGGTTGGGGGAGGCAGCGGGAAGAACTCAGTGCAAGGTTCTTACTGAATTTAGGAGCCTTTACTCTCCAAGTTAATTTTCCAGACTTGCGTTATCACAGGTTAATACTGGACCCATGCATAATGATACATAATTTGAGACTTGTAAAAGCTGCCTTGGACTTGAAAGAAACACAGTCCATGCCAGGAAGGTTGTGCCCGGCATGCAAGAGCAAGTCATACTGGTAGAATGTATGTCCAAAGCAAGGGAGCCGCGCCCCTTTGAAAGGATCTTAGAGGATGCCATGCAGGTGGGAGGGTGGGGGTGGGAGGGAGAGGAGATCCTGTTGCTAGGCAACCGTTCAGCTGCTGCCCTGAAAACCTCCGTTTTCATGACTTGCTCTTTTAACAGTCATTGCAAGGCAGTTCACAAAGGGAAATTCGTTATTTTTAATAGACCCAGAAATATCTCATGGATTTGAAGTGATGCAACAAGATTGCCCTAATGGTTTCTAAACTTTGTTTTTTAAGACTTCTGGGGCCAGAACTGTCAAGAACTGCCTTGGGGCACCCTTCCACTTCAGATAACCAAGCTGTTTGTTGGCATTGTTGCAGACTGACATAGCCTGAGCTAGGATGTTTAGCTGCTTGTGGGGTGGAAAAAAAAATGTTAAGAAAAATAATTGTTGTTTTTGCAAACTATCTATTTAAAAACAGAACCTCAGGAAGCAGATTTCTGTTCCAATGCCTGGATGAATCAGAGCTTACAAAGTATAAATACACATTAGCAGGAGGAGGCTTCCCATAACCCATGTGCTTGTGTGTCTTCCCAGACCAGGAACCTCTGAACTCCTGTTTCTCATTCCCAGTAGAGGCAAGAAAGAGACCCACAGTCAAAACGGAAATGGTGGAGCATTGCTCAGCCCAAATTCAAACCTCTGTAGGCCTGAAGAGCTTTTTTTCCTTTAAAGAAAGCTGATTTTTACCTGCACATTTGCTCGCTTTGGGACAGGTGTAAGCCACTTAGAAAGGTGGGAAACCTATGCTGTGGTTCCTTTGGCTCTTTGCGACCTAAGAAATATTACTAAATAAGTTAACTTTGACTCACTGACCTCTCAGACTGGCTAATAAAGATGAAGGGCTTAGACCATAACTTGCTCAAGGGGCAGTGTAATTATTTTACTTAAAAATGATGTCAGGTGGCAATTTAGCAACAAACTGGCTCCCAGGGTATTTAATTCACTTTAACAAGGAGGAAAAACATTGTAATTAATGAAGAGCTTGTACTTCAGTACTTGAGCAGGGTTGTTCTCAGATTTTACTGTACATAAACTGGGGTGGGGGCGGGGAGGAGAGCTTGCGGCGAATGCAGATCCCAGGTCCAGCTGGATGGGTCTGGTCTAATGGAGTCGTGGGCTTAACCCGGGAATCTGCAGTTAAGGGAGATTTACTTGCCAATAACGTTTCTGTTCACTCAGCCTTACTTATCTTTTAGTGGATATATTCCAAATCTACACTGTAAGTCTAGAACCCGAGGATGATTTCCCATCGTAAAACAACCAGCTTCAAGTTGCTTCATTCCTGGGATTTCAATGATACATTCTAATGCTAAAGTTCTAGTCAGTGCAGTTTCTGGACCAAAAGTGTTTTCCTGGACCCCTTTAAAGAGGGCCCAGAAGTCCTTTCTTTTCCCCTTTCCAAATCCCAGGATAGCCAGGGCTTCACTATCTACTCCCTTCTCCCCAGAAAAGGGAAAAAAACCACCCCTCCCAATTAAGTTCCTGGCTTTGAGCCGTGCCTAGGAGGAGCTTGATCTATGCCCTCCCACTACCAAGAGCGCCCTGGACAGGCTTGTTAAAACAACACCCGTGAATCTCAAGATCACTTCCCTCCTGGAATGAAGAATCACAGAGGCTCATTAAACTTTTTTCCTTGGCACAAAAGCATTTGGCAGTTACCCAGAGAATTCTGGGGTCCTGGGGTCCAAGTTTACAAACCACCAGGACAAGGTATTGCTTCAGGATGGTGTTTGAATCCAGAGCTACTGGGCCAGACTGCTGGTTCGTGGTCTGTGTTTTCTCCTTTCCTTTGACGCTACCTTACAGAAGCCAGCTGTCTACCAGTGTGAAAGTATTGCTACACCAACCCAGGAAGATGTCACGGGAACCCAGACTGTACCGTCCAGGTCTTGTCGGCTGCCTCCCCACTGAGCCAAAATAGGCTGTTGACCACTCTTGGGGCCATCACAGACTCTGGCCCCCTGATGACCTCTGCTGACGCACAAGGAAGCAGGGACACCCAAAGCCTGTCACCCATACCTAAACAAGATGCCCAAGGAGGATAATTCCTAGCCTAGTAGAAAAAAAATTTTTCCAAGAATGGAAGAAAACATTCCTATCAGCTTTTCCTGTATTCGGAGTCGCAGACACCGTTTGAAGTTCAGCTATGAAAATCCAGAGGTGGGAAGAAAGGCCTGAACTGGTGAAGCGCCGGGAGTCAGCCTTGAGAGGGGTACGCTTGGCTTCCTACCCAGAAGCAAGGGCATTCCTGTTGACTCCCCGCAGCTGCTGGAAGCTGTCCATGTTCCTGTCGCTGCCACTCATCCCTCCTTGCGGAGGTGCCAGGGGCAAAGCTTCCCCCGCTCCCGCGGGGCAGGCAGGGACCTCAGCTTCTGCCAGTAGACCTCCAGACTCCAGCTGCCACCAGGGAGACTGCAGCTCTCTGCCCTTGTACAAATAGAGAAAGCCCACCTCACGGCAGGCCAGACAGATGGCAACTCACAGCGGTGAGGCCAGCCCCACACAGAGTCCCACGTACCAAGGTGAGGAGTACGTGGGTCCTGATGTCAAAGCTGTAAGTGCTACCTGCTCTGCAGAAAGAAACCACCCACAACGGTGAGCACGCACAAGGTCTGCAAGGGTATGGTCTGCAATGAAGACAGGACATCAGTGTTAATCCAAGTAGCCGGAGTGCGGGGGAAAAAACAGCATTAAACGTCCCTCTTCATCCCCCCAATTCCAAACTACTTAAAACCCCCGTGGTGCGGTGGGCATTTCCCGTGAGTGCTCACAAACAATTCACCGCCACACTAGAGGCCATTAATCCAGTGGTGTTTATTCAAGCAGTATTCACACTTGCTGTTGAATCACAAGGGAATCCATGCTCCCCGAGACGGGGCTCCCACAAGCTCCAGCTCCACAGCAGCCCCACGGTGTTTGAGAACCTCAGATGAAGTTTCTGGTTGAAAAGCCCTTCAGTTCTTCATCCTCGGGCCCATCAGGCACAGCCTGTTACACCCGACTACCAGAACAGGCTCAGCAGCGTGGCAGGGGCACACAGCAAAGCCACGGAGAACCATGTAAGCTCACAGGAGGCCACACTGTTCCATGTTTTCATACAAAAAATTTAATAAATATTACTTTTCAAAATTTATTGCCAGGAACAACACATCAAAGATGCATTTCTGTGTTCATATAACACCAACAGGACAATACAAAGTATCTTCACGGTCTCACTGGTGAACCAACAAGATTACTCTGTTTTATAAGCCTTTTTGACCTTGAACTTTGTAATAGCACTTTGATTTCCTCACTTAAGGCAGGCAGTGTACTCTATGGCAAATCTAAACAGTGATCTTACGGGACATCTTATGGTTCAAGTATTCAACTAGCTTATTAGAATACTCCCTAAATGCAGCAGATAACAAAAATCAAATCTACAAGTGGTTCAGTATTACGTATGAATGGTGAAAAGAAATCAGAATTTACAAAGTAAGATTGGTGTGCTTCCAAGTTCACACAGTCAATTTGATATTTTTAATGATATTCAACCACTCACATCTTGGCTACGTTAAGTCATAGCTCTGCTCGTTCCCTTAAATTGCTCTGTAGCAGATCAACCTGCTTGTCTCTTTTCAAGTCTAAAGCAGGGGAAAAAAAAAAAAGGAACCTGTTCTAGACTAATTCTCAAACTGCCTCAGTCAGTCCTTAAAACGCATTTTAAAGTGATGCTACGGAAGGTGTTTTAACATCTGACGTCGTACAAAAAAAAAAAAATCCATCAGCATTCCAGGCACAAAAGCCCATCTTATTTTAAAATAAACTAGTTTCAAACACCTTAATTTTGGCTTATAGGCAACACGTAATGAGAAGATAAGTTCAAAAAAATAAAGTAACGCTTACACTGCTATCAAAAACCTTCAGTTCTAAACATACATATAAATAAAAAGGAATGATGTTTTAAGGCTCTTGATTATTAAGTTAATAAATCAAATATACACAGTGATTAATAAAAAAGAATTATTTACATAACTATACAAAATTCTACTTTTGACATTTTCCTCTTTAAATTCTTCATTTTTACCAGCAACTGCTGACATCAAAGTCCCCCCTCCCCCAACAAACAAAAATACAATAAAAAAAATAAATAATAAACTCATTTGTGATAGTTGCTGTGGTTCTGAGCTGCAAAGGCACTTTCAAATACAGAACTACTTGTACGTCATCATAAAACCAATATACAAAAACAACTCAAGAGTCAATAAATATAAATAAAACTATGATCCTAAGACTGCATCACCATGAGGACATCTGGCACGAGTGGGAGCTCAAGGCTGGGGCAGTCTCCTGGGAGCCCGATCCGCGAGGTGTCGCAAACACCAGGGCACTTTTCGCCTACGTGGGTTTTTTTGCTTGTTTGTTGTGGGTTTTTGGTTTTGTTTTTGTTTGTTTTTGCATAGCTGTGAGATGCAGCCCTCGCTTTCCCAGCCAGCCACAGAAACTACCATTGCCAGTGTAAGCCAGCTTGTCAAAACTTAAATTAACACAGGGGTTTTGCTAAGTCAGCGACAGCCTCAGACTCGAACAGGACAACAGTTTAAAGAACAAGCTCCGTGTGCCCTCAGACTCTACCTAGGTGGTGGCAGCGCCCACCGTCTGCTATACGATGTACTCCATCCGGTTCAGGCTCTGGGCACTCTCCAAGTCTCTGTTGTCCTGTTTGTTTGTCCAGTTTGGGTGTTTTGTCGGCGTGCTGTTGGGGGGCTTCTCCTCTCTGTCTACCAGCGTGTACGCCGGCTGTTTGGCAAACCGGGCCTTCTGCTGGTGCTTGTCCATGTCGTCCTCTTCTACTTCAGAGTTGTGTGTCCTTATTTTAGACATTTTGGAGTTTTTGTTCTCGTAATCCTTGATGGGGACCGTGTTGGCGCCGTGCTTCTCAATGGGGTTCTTGATCTGGTTCAGCTGCTCCCGCACATTGTTGGTGGTGTTGTCCTCTGAGGCTGAGTGCGCGTGGCTGCTTGGCTTCCGTCGCTTCCGCACGCACCAGTAGAAGGCCGTCACCAAGCAACAGATCCAAGCCACGGTTAAGACAGAGCTCAGCAAAGGAACCAGGAAATCTGGAAGGCAGGCACAGGACCAGTGAACGCTCAGTGACAACAACCGAGCCATCAGCTCAGGAACCCAAGAAAACCAACGGTGGTTCCTCCTGTCAAGTCCCTAACAGGGGCACCGTGGGGACAAGTCCCTTTTCACAACTGCACATTGTCACATCACAGCTCTTAAGGGGCCCTTAGAGACCGTGGCACTTGTGTGGCCAGAGGGGTCAGGTTCTACAGGCACCCCAACTCTGCTTGGGGCCAGAGGTGTCTTGTGACTGAAGCTGGCTTTCAGAATTCTCAGTAGCCCAAACCGAGTGTAGACAGCACAGGCCCACATTCCCACCTCGCCAGGGCAGTGAGGGCTGGGATCCTCTAAAGCATTTGACACAACGGGCAAGATACCACTTGGGACGCCTGCATCCTGTGGGAATGCCAGGCTCCTGGCTCCAACATGGGCCAGCCCCAGCTGTTGTAGACAGGGCCATCAAGCCCTCTACGAAACCTGCACTTCCCCATCTGTGTCATGACATCAGAGCTCCAAACCAGACTCGGTGCCACCTCAGGCTCCAGGCACAGTGGTGCTTTGCCCTAGACTCTTGCTATTGTTCTACAGGGGAGTGCGCACAGTGTGCTAGCAGGGAAATACCAAGGACAGCAGACCTCTGTCCCCATCGGCCCCGTGACCTTGGACAGGCTGGCCCCAGTGTTAACAGGCGCGGTGGGTTTTCTGGGTGCTGTGAGGAGATGGATTTGCTGCATTGACACCAACCTGTTCTGTTCTTCAGAGGCCGCCTCTGAACCCTCACTTCTGCCACGGCAGCGATAAGGGAGCTGTTGCCGTCACGCTTACTAACGAGATCGATTATTTTGTCGGTGATTTCTTTGATGGGGTTTCCATCATCCCGGATGTCTTCAGCGGACTGGAAAAAAACAGTCCATCTTGAGTCAGGAACCAATCAAGGTAGCTTTCATTCAAAATTACCAGACAACCCATGCACATGGGCTTTTTTTTTTTTCCCGTGTATTTGGCCGCATTTTGATACTACATAACTGAAGTTTTATTAACTACCTTGCAGTCAAATAATTGGGTATGTAAGAATGAATCTTCTACTCACAATGGCCACGTGTATTTCATTGTTTGCCGAGGGCGAAGGCTCACAAGCTATGTAGATTGAGTATTCAGCAGACACATTCTTCAAAATATTCAGGTTCCTCAATTCACTACAAATGTGTTCCGTGGTGAGACCCTGAAAGAGTTTTTTGAAAACCCACATGTTAAGATACAGGAAGAAAGCAAAAGGTTGATGTTTGAAAGCAGGGCTAAACCCAAGCCTTGTTTTACCGTAAGACAGGGGTTTAGGCTAAGGGGAGGTGGATCTCAACTCGTGACCCTCCTCCTTTACAACAAGCACCTACACACCATTCTCAACTCCTAAAAAGGTGTTACTTACTGGGGACATCATCTCCTTGTTAAAGGTGAACGTGATGTTTGCACAGTTATCCTGGTAATAGGAGTCCGAGGTGCACTTGGTCTTCACAGGCTGGAGACCGGACGACCGACACTCGCCCACACCAGTGCAGGGGCGGACGAAGCACTGGTCATCCAGGATAGGGATGCAGCTCTGCCCACTGGGACACTCGCTGTGCCCTTTGTGGAGCAGACAAGGTCGAGGGCCACACCAGACCTGCAGAGAGAACAGGAGGTGGCAGCTTCGCAGGAACACCCACACTGACTCCAGCACGCAGGAGAACCGCAGCAGTTCCCATGCCCTACCTTCGAGCACGCAATCCGTCCATTCAGGCACTGGCAGGTGTTACAGTCGTCATCCCATTTGGCCCCATCTGGTATCACACTCCCCCTGGTGACGCAAGGTCTCCCTGAAACTGACAGGTGGAGGAAGATGTCAGTGAACACACCTCTCCATGGAGTGCATCAAGGTTCTTGCCTCTTCAACTCCTTCCTTGTTATGAAATGGTTATACCCAGGCACTAACAGTTCATTCCAGGACAACAGGTACTTAAATTCCCTGCTCTCACTGACTCTGCCTATTAGCCTATGTGACCTGCTTGGGCCAATGCAACAGCAATAGAGGGGACAAGAGACCCTTTATCACCAGACTGTCACAGTTGAGCTCGGCCTCTCAATGGGCCTGGCCATTTGATAAAAAAGAAATGTGCCCCCCAGCTAGCTGCTGACCAACCTCACCTGACCCCCAGCACAATCTCACTCTGCCCACCTACACAACACAGCCAGAGTTTCGGGATCGTTTGTTACACAGCCATACTGTGGCAACAGCTGTCTAAAAGTAGCTATCCTATTTGGGGCAGACCCCTCCTGCACCCCCCACCATGTGTCCCCCCACTGAGCACAGCACTCACACATGAACAGGCAGAAAGATAACTGCATGGCCCACTAACTGCTAAGATGCAGGGGGTAGCCAGGGCCTGGCCCACTTACCTTCCTGGCACTTGGCACCACTGTGCCCTGGGGGACAGACACACTGGTAGCCATTGATCTCATCCACACAAGTTGCCCCGAAGGCACAAGGCGAAGACTGACACTCATTGATGTCTAGGAAAAACGGAGTTCAAGTTTAGGCCCCAGTGTGGAGCAGCAGTGTTTTTTCTTCTATATTGTTCAGTAACACAGATGGAAAGCATATAAAACATGTCAAAGCTGGATGACTTTTCACTCATGTAATAAAACAGGGCATCCGTATCCCCGAAGCCTCCACCCTCCCGAAGATCCCCACCATCCTGATTTCTGCCAGCTCAGAACACCAATGTTTCATTTGTTTTCCCTGACAGTACAATTTAGAGCAAGGCCAGCAGGCTTCTCCTGAAGAGGCAATAGCTTAGGCTTTGCAAGCCCTAAGGTCTCTCGAAACTGCTCGACTCTATGGTGACATCATGAAGCAGCCATAGATAATATAGAAATGAAGGGTTCTGGCCATATGCCAAAAAAGCTTTGTATAAAAACAGGCCGTGGGCCAGATGTTGTACCCTTCACCAGGCTGTACTCTGCCAGCCCCTTAGAAACACAGAACAGATAGAACCTATGCCTACCCAGTGCTGAGGTCCAGTCACCCCAGACCTGGAGATGTAAGGCACTAGTAAAGTTTCAGACAACAGAGGCCAAGAACAAACCAGTACTGCAACTGACTGTTCTATACTTTTTTTGGGGGGAGGGGAAAGAACAGGACTTGTAAGAGAGTAAAGACTCAAAATAAAGGTTAAGCTTCCTGAAAAATCTGCATTGCCTGCCTCTCACTTTTATTTTCTTCAGGCCTGCTCAAACCCAAGGCAGAGCAAGCAGCCTCCAGAAGCCACCGTTCAAGGCCCTTCCGTTTGCCTTAGCTCCACGCAACAGCTGTGGTTACCATCCACGGGCCTACAAGTTCACATTAGTCATGAGGAAAAGCAAACGCGTTCCTTGGGGCCTCCATGTAGCTTAGTCGTCAGATTCTGCAGCTGGCATTCACTTCCCCCAAGAACTATGCAAGCTGTGCCACCCAGGGAACTACTGGCAGGGACCTGGGAGGAGCCAGCTAGGGACACCTTAATCCCAGCTGGAGGCAGGAGATTATTTGCTTTGTCAGGGTTCCTTAAAGTAGCGATGGCTTTAATTGTTTTTAAAGATGAATAGTCTCGGGCTGAGGAGTGGAGCTGGGGGAGAGTAAAGCCATTGGGAAAACCAGAGTGGGTCCTTACTTATTCTGCAATCCGGCCCGGCAAAACCTGGGGCACACTCGCACCGGTACCAGTTGTCTCCATCCACGCAGGTGCCACTGTTGTAGCTATGAAGAAAGCAAAAAAATAAATAATCCCCCTGGGTTACCAACCAATGGCCCAGTCTACATCTCTGGCAGCCCACCCATCGCGTACAACCGTGCACTTAGAATCAGCGGCTGTCACCCCTGACCGTCCCGGGGAGTTTACAAAAATACTGATGCCTGGGTCCCAGCCCTAGAGAGTCTAAATTTCCTAGGTCTCGGTTGCAGCCCAGGCTCTGGGACTTTTAAAAGCTCCCCAGGTGATTCTCGTGTGCAGCCAAGGTTGAGAACCACTGCTCTAAATGAAGGCACAACCTGGCTAATTAAAGTGTGCTTCACAGAGCAGCAGGCTCAGCATCACCCGGGAGCTCGTTAGGACAGCGAAGTCTGGAGCCCCACCCCAGACCTCCCGACTCAGAACCCGCACGTAAAGCCAGATTCCCACGCAGGTTAAAGCTGTCAAACTTACCAGGGATGAGGGCTGCAGTCATTGGTATCTGCAAAGAAAAGACAATTTAACTGTGAGGCCTTCAACAGGGAAGGCAGTCTTGGCTCTAAGTAAAAGCACCACTTATTTCTATAATAACCAAATGATAAAGTCGTAGTTAACACCAGCAAAATACACTTAAAACCTCTGCTAAATTGGAACCAGGCCTGCACCACACTCGGTTTCATTTGCCGTGGGACACATGTATGCAGGAAGAGGCCCTGGTAGGGGAGAGCATGGAAGCAGACAGGCTGCTGGTCAGACCCAGAGCCGGGAACAAGACACCATCTGTCTCCACTTATCTCATTGGCGACTTTCTCATGCCCAGGTCAGGACTGCATCCCATCGAGTCATTAACGCAGACCCAGGTGATACAAAAGCAGACATCAAACAGCTCTGCTTCTGGTTTCGATTGCAAGTCAGTCCCCAGGGGTGTCAGACTATGCCGCAGCAGCCCTGGGAGAGTTCAAGGGGGAAGACACTCACTCTGGGTACAGATGGGCCCCTCCCAGCCTTCTTTGCACACGCATGTGAAGGACTCGCCGTTGACCACACAGGTGCCCCCATTATGGCAGGGGTTGGGCAGGCAGCTACTATTCCGGGCTACAAGACAAGAGCAGGCAAGACCACGCTTCTGAGAATGCGCTCACAGTCTGGAGGGAGCAAAAACCGGAACCCCGGAACATGACCCTAAGTCCCAGGAGCCAGCCAGCACACAGGCTCCTGCGGCTGCACCCACCACAGGTCCCCTGTGGGGCTGATGGTTACCTATGTTGCAGGTTGTTCCTTCCCAGCCACCAGGACACATGCACTTAAATGCATCCCCTTCGTCATAGCAGGTACCGCCATTGTTGCACGTGGCCTCATCACACTGGCTGTCACCTGGAGGTAGAACAGCTGGCATGAGCCCCCAGCCAGACCCCTCACAGAGGCAGGGACAACCGCCGGCACCAGCTGCCACTTACGTGAGTGGCAGGTCTTTCCTTTCCACCCGTTTTTGCAGTCACAGTAGAAGTCGTTGACCAGGTCTCGGCACGTGCCCCCATTGTGGCAGGGGTTTTGGCTGCAGTCATTAATATCTAGAATCAACAAGGAGATGTTCAGCCAAAAGGTGACGCCAGAACCATGCACGGCACACCCGGGCCCTCCTTTCCAATCCCCACATTCCAAGAAAAGCTGAGCAGTCCGAGGACTTCAACACCATCATCCCCTTTTCTAGGAATAAAGGCGCTCCCAAAAGGGCTCCTGTGAACGCCCCAAGTCAGGCCAGAGAGCAGGCAGGCCTCTGAAAGTCCCATGACGATTAAATTCAAGATGAACAGACATTAAAATAACAGAAAGTGCCTGCCTTCCACGCAGGATCTGTATTATCTTAATTGCACAGTCCCGAGCAGAAGTCCCTCCCCGCCGGCTGTCAGCAGCGTTAGCAAACACAAACAGGACACCACGAGACAGTCCTACTGCACAGAGGCCCCAGGTTGAGGCCGGTTCCTCCCAGGGCCCTCCCCTTTGCAAGACTGTCACTCCCAGCACTGCAGACTCACTGGCTTCACAGTAGGCCCCCTCCCAGCCATCGCTACAGATGCACTTGTAGGAGTTGACGCCGTCGATGCACGTGCCGCCATTCTTACAGGGATTGCTCTCACAGTCGTTGATATCTGTGAAAGGAAGGAGGAGGAAAAGGATGACGAACTAAGGAGGCTGAAGGACAAGTCACGCCATAGCCAAGCCCTGGTGCATTCCCGGCATCTCAGCATGCTCAACTCCATGGGCACCGTTTGCCGAAACATACAGGCAGCTCAGTGAGCAGGGGCCTCCAGACAGTGCCTCCCCACGTGGTTTTATGGCCTCACTCACGAAGCTACTTAGGGGACACGGGGAAGAAACTTTTACAGAAGAGAGGGACCATCTACACTTGTAGGACTCCAGAACATTCCAGAACAGGCAGGGAGGCCCAACAAGATCTCGTAAATGGAACATGACCTCAGTCTCAGGTCCCAGATGTAGTAAGCCTTTGCCAGTCTCCCCAGTCTTCCCCTTTCTGGTTAAATGACTCCTCCCACTCCACCCCCGGGCTGGGCAGTGGCAGCTGTGGCCCATTCCCCGATGAGAGGGGTCTTACTTTCATGGCAGTATGTTCCCGTGAAGCCTTTGTTACAGTCACAGGTGAATTTGCCTCCCGACTGACTCTTGCACTTCCCGTGGGGACCACAGACGTTCGAGGAAATATACCGCACCCCTTCAGGCGTGTCGTTGGACGCCATGGCCACTGTGCAGCTGTCAATCACTAGAAGACAGGCTGGGGATCAGATCACAGCCAGGGACATGCACAGACATGGCTTTCCTAAGCCAAGGCCCCCATAGGCCAAGCCCTGTTTCCTGGAGAGGAGCACCCTTTGGCTGAAGAGGGGAGAAGCACTGGGCGGCAATGTGCCCCGTCGCGCAATGGCAGGTGGGGCTGAGACACCTCGTGGAGATTGTTTTCTTAAAGCAGTCTCCCCCCTGCCTGTGGGCTCCTTTCATCCCACTCTGGCATGTGGTAAATGCTTGCTAAGGAAAAAACTCAACCTCCTCCCTCCTTAATCTCGCTTCAAACAAGACGCAAGGACAAACCTGCAGAAGCCTTTAAAAGGTTGTGCCGCCTACTACAGCAGCCACGGGTCATAAGTGGCTACTGGCATTTAAATGAGTTTCTAGTGACACTAGTTCACATTTCTAAATGCTCAGTGGCCACCGTGGCCCGTGGCTACCACACCTGATGACACAGTTATGGGACATTCCCCGCTGTTGCAGGAAAGCTGCTGCCCTGAGGAATTCAACTTGGGGTTGCCAATCAGCCCACCCCAGAACAAGAGTGAGAAATGGATTTCACATGCTCTCCCCTGGGCTGCCTGTAGGCAGGGTCCTCCCACTGCTGGGCCCGAATAGATCGTTTCCAGGTGTCCTGACTTCCCTCGGCAGGCAGACCATGGTAGTTTCAATCTGTCAGTCCTCCTTAGCTCTAGGCCCTTTCTGGCAGTACCAAGGAGAGGTGGCGAATTGGGGTGAAAAAGGACGAAGTCTGGGGAAAACCGGGTTCTGGGGGCCGGGGGTACCTTCACAAGGGGTCGTGCGGCAGTGGTCTTTCAGATGCGAGCAGTTCTTGCCCTCATAGTCCTCAGGGCACTTGCAGAAGTAGTCGCTGGCACGGTTGTAGCACTGGGCACCATTCTGGCAGGGATTGGGCTCGCAATAATCTATGTCGAGCTGCAAATGTCAAGTGCAGGGAAGGAGGGAGGGGAAAAAAAAAAATCAAAGTAAAACAAGCGTCATGGCCCCTGCTCTGGGGCAGGAACATGACCCTCCATCTGCTTCTATAAAGAGACACCCTGTGTCGTATGTCCTAGGTCCAGGTATGTATTTGAAAAAACAGAGCAGAGAAGAGCACGCGCTGAGCCGGGGGGTGATGGAAATGGAACACAAGGCCAAACAGTATGGGCTACAGGCCTGAAGCAGAGAATCCTTCATCAACCTCTCCTGCCAGCCAGCATCTGTCTAGCGGAGCTCCTAACCAATAGGACGTTAGACACCACGAGACTCCAGACACGACAGTCAAGAGGGGGGCACGGAGGAAGAGGGGAGGCGGCAGCGCTGTGGCAGCTTGGCCATCTGAGGTTTCATCAGCACTCACCTGACAGAGGTTTCCAGAGAAACCAGTGGGACACAGACACTGGAATCTGTTGATTTCATTCTGACAGTGACCCCCATTCAAACAGGGGTTGCTGGCACATTCATCGATGTCTTTCTCACAGTGGTTGCCTGCATAGCCAGGTGGACAGATGCAGCGGTAACCATTCACCAGATCCTGGAGGGGCAGAAGCGGTAGGAACACACGCTGACTCTGCGATCCAGACACAGGGCTTCCCCGCCTGTTCGCAGGGCCACTGCCGTCCAGCTAAAGCACTCCTAACTGCCTGAGGCCATAGGAATCTCTATGTCTTCAAAACGACCCCCCCAGGAGGCCAGGGAATGCGAGCCCCGGGAAACATCCAGAGACCCCCTCTCCACCTGCATTTCTCAACCTCAGGGGGACAGAGCTCTCCCCGCATCCCATATATCTTGAGATCTGCTGTCAATCACCCAAAGTTTGGATTCAAGCAGAGGTCTACATACCCGACAGGCGGCGTCATTCTGACACTGGCCAAGGCAGTCATTGATATCTAAAAAGTAAATAAGTCATCACATTAAAGAGGCAAGTTTTTTCACAACTTCTTTAAGGGAACAAATTTCATATATACAGATGGAGATGCACAGTGAGGAAAGAGATTTACCCTGAAATATAGCTTCACGGAAAAGCCCCCTCAGCTCGGGACAGACCAAAGTTTCCCACCAAGGTCCCCCTGTGAGATGAGGCTCCCCCCCCCCACCACTGCTCCAGACTCAGGGAGTGAAACATCACACCCTTGTCCCAGCCACCTTATCAGACTACGGCCAGGTTAGCAGCTATGGAGCCCGACAAAGCGTATGCTGGCACTGCTGCACTGACCACGACCTCTCCAAAAACATCCCCAGTTTAAGTATTCCTTCCATGGCTCAAGCCTCAGAACTGCAGCCCAAGCAGGGCTGGGCAAGACCCTTCAAATCCCCCAAGTTCTGGGGGAAACCAAGTCACTCACTTATGTCACAGTTCTGACCCATCCAGCCGGGAAGGCAGTCACAGTAGTAGCTGGCAATCAGATTCTTACAGGATTTGGCATTTACACAAGGTTTGGCCTCACATTCATTTGCATCTGAAAGGAAACAAGGATGACCACTGAGACAGAGTTCTCTCCCCCACCTGCCCCCCCCCTTGGAAAGAAACACCACAGAGTTGGTGTGAAATAAGAGACCCTTTAATAAGGCAGCACAATAAGAGGTACCAGGCTCCTCTATTGTGACCATCTGAGCCCCCTCCCTTGCATTGTCCAGGAAGGAGAGCTAATTGATAACTTCCCAGCTGCTGGTTACCAACCGGCCCCGCAACAGAACAGCAGAAAGCCACCAAGCATTTCTGTGCAAAACCCAGCACAACACTAGTTGCTGGGATTTAAATGTGCCAAAAAGAATGCAGACAGCTCATTCCTCATGAGATCATCCCCGTTTGGAACCCAGCTGAACGCTCCTCGGACAGACGATTGACATGGTTCAAGGAATCCCACAACTTTCCCACAGGGCCTAAAAGAGCTAAGTCCATTTGCATTCAAGTTATTTCTCCCAGGCCTGCTAGGGTCTGGAGAGTACATGACTCCGGAGTATCACGGAGCGCAAACTCACACCGCTGGCCACATGCTCCGCTTCCTCAAGAGCTTTCGATGATCGAGGCCACCCCGGTATGGAAATGACAGTCCCAAGGATTCTCTTACCTAACTGGCATGTTTTGCCGGTCCACTGGGGAGGGCACACACACTTAAATCCATTCACCAAGTCCAGGCAGGTACCCCCGTGAGAACAGTTATTGGGAGAACAGTCATCAATATCTGTTCAACAAAAAAGCACAGAGGAATCGACAGTTTAATGCCAATGCACCAGACAACCAAGGAGGACGCGGTCCCAGGGAGCCAGACACCTGCTCCCAGCAAAGCCACGGCAGGACAAGTGGGACGGGGACGATACGGCTGAAGGCTCCATTTTAGCTTTAAATCCCCCACTGCCCCAGTTCAATTAATCCCCCCTAAGCAGTGGGGGAGAGACAGACAGCTGGATACCCACAGCACAACAACCCACGTGCCGGGAGCACTGGACGTTCGTTATCTGCCTCATCTTTGGTTTTTTTTTCCCCCCATCGTGGCCACTACACATGCAGAGGGAAGGGAAAGTAACTTTGACAGGTGGCAAACCTCTTCCTCCGATTTCCTTAGAGTCTCCCAAAATAGCATACCCAGGGGCTGCACCCCCAACGCCCACACTGGACTAAGGAGATCTCTCTGCCTCTTTGATGAGGTATGCCACATTGTTGGAGAACTCACTCCCTGGTATTCACAAGAACCATTGAAGATAGAAGCTGCTACCAGCCCACTGGAACAGGAACTGGGGAGGTTACGTGGTCCACCAGCATCCTACAAGGGCCTCAGGCAACCTGACCCCAGAATCCACATCACCAACCACACCCCATGCCACTCTCAGGGTGCCGATGACAGCAATTCTCAGGCCTGAAGGGCTGTGGGCTCCCTAATTCTAGAGGGAATCGGTGGGACCCAGAGCTGCACCGTAAGGCACCCCAAACAGTTCTAACAGCCAAGTCTCAAAAGCCCAGGTAAGCACTGTAGCCTGGGCCCTGCCTTGGCCTTATGACAAAATCCGTGGTGCCAACCGCTCGTGAAAGCAGCCTGGTTACCAAGGCCACAAGCAGAACAATCCCGATGCAGATGAGACAGCTCTGGGAAGCACATACAGAGCCCTAAGCTGTTCCAAAAGGAAGTCTTTTCCAAGAACACACATGTGTGCTAACTTAACAGGTGGGCGGGGGTGCCAGGAGGCCACACCCACTCCTCCCCGCCAGGCAGGCCCAGGTTACATAACCCCAACCCCGAATCCGCACACAATGATCCTCCATAATGGACACCGGCCAAACCCTGGACTTACTCGTGGAGCACGTGGGACCAGTCCAGCCCGGAGAACACTCGCACTCAAACCCCAAGGAGGTCTCCTTGCAGCTGCCTCTGTTGTGGCACGGGTCAGAGAGGCAGGCGTGTTCCGCTACGGAAACCAAGAAGGGCAGTGGTTAAGGGAGGCCGGCGACAGCCACCTCCACCTCCCCCCTCAATGGAATCCCACGCCCACGCCACCATCACACATGCTTCCAGAACTGCAAGCAAGCGTGTAATATGAACCCTGCAGAGATGGGATGTCTAGGAAGAATGGAAGTCATCTTTCCCGCTACGCTGTCTCCAGCCACATTCCAGGGCATCTCAGGGCTGGGGTCACTGCATCTCTTGCCACCTCCTGCGCTAGCCAGCATCACCCATACAACTTTGAGGACTTGAAAGCAGCTTCAGAGACCCACAGGAGGGCTGGAGTGCCAGGGTCATCAACTCTGGCAACTATGGTCACTTTTTTTTTTTTTACAAGTCCAAAGCTTGTACAGCCAAGTTTACAGAAAAATCTCAACAGATCTCACTGAGCGTGGAACACTCACCAATTTCACAGTTGGGTCCCGAATAGCCCTCAGGGCAGGAACACTGGTATTTGTCAGGACCGGTGTTGCTACAGGTCCCCCCGTTGAGACACGGCTGATGGGTCCCACAGTAATTGAGATCTGCCAAAAAAGATGCCAAAGTCACCACCAGACACCCGTCAAGATGACTAACCCTCCATGGTTCTACAGCCTCATGCCCCCTTTAAAAATGAAACAATCAACCCCACTTTAGACAAATTCAAACAGATTCAGAATCTTAAAAAATCTCCCACTGTCCCCAGGTGCCCTCCCCTGTGGGTGTACCTTTGTCACAGAGCTGGCCGCCCCAGTTGGTCTCACAGAGGCACTGCCAGGGCTCATTGCAGGTGCCGTGGACACATCCCGGGTGTGGGATGCACTTGTCACAGTACAGGCCCTGCCAGCCGTACTGGCACCTGCAAATAAAGCATATACACCCCCGCTCAGCCAGAGGGTTTTTTTTTTTCTTTCTTTTTAAAGATTCATTTATTTATTTCAAAAGCAGAGAGACAGAGACAGAGATCTACCATCTGTAGGTTCATTCTCCAAATGCCCACAACGGACAGGGCTAGGACACGCTGAAGTCAGGAGCCCAGAACTCTATCTGGGTCTCCCATGTGGGTAGCAGGAACCCAAGTATGCCTCCCAGGCACTTTAGCGGGAAGCTGCATCAGAAGCACGGAGCAGTCAGAACTTGAACCCTGAACTCCCATATGGAACACACTGGCTTAACCCGCGGCGCCACAACACCTGTTCCCAGCCGCTTGAATACTCAGAACTGCAAAGGCAAAGCCTTTTCTGCTTTGTTTCTGGGGACAGGATGGTACACTTTGCAAGGCCCATCAGGGGACTCCTTATAAACAAACATTTTCACAGTTGGGCCAAGGTCCCCTTCCCAGCCGGTGCCGACAAAAGGAGAGCTGTTTGGGGAGAGGCCAGTGTGGGGACACCCTTCACAAAGCCACTCTCTTCTCAGGCTCCCGCAAATGAGGGAGGGAGGGAGGGAGTATGGAATAAATCAATGCCAGGACCTGGTTGGGACAGACCATAGAAGGAAAGGACTCTGGTGACAACAAAAGCTATGCAAAGGCTGCACTTGCAGCTCCGCTGAGCTCTTTGTCTCAACAGCAAGTCGCGACCCCGGCACAGAGAAACGCAACAAGACACTAAGTGTGGCAGCAAACTGCCACGCAATGACAAGTTACAAAATCAAGTTGAGGAAGAGGCATCCTCCTTGGGGTAGACTCCCATCGCATCCCTAACCCCAATTCTGCAGGGTGGCAGAGGGAAGCAGCAGCACTTGGAACCAATTCCATAGATAATTTGTGACCCATTACCATGGCTGTCCCTGCAAAATTTATAGTTATTTCTCACTTTGCAAGAAGAGGGGAAAAAAAGAAAAAAAAAAAAAGGTCAGCTGAGTTTATCTAGTATTGGGGGAGTCAAATTTCCTTTATAAGCGCCTTGTTCAGCGGACTCTTTCGAGGCCAAATGGTGTCTTTGATCCCCAAACAAAAACACAAATATAAACCTTCACCTGGGTGGGAGAGAGGGCAGGGTCTCAAACCACTCTCCCCTCAAGTTTCAAGCCCTCTGAAACCCTAACCGCCCTCTCAAAAACCAAGCTTTCTCAAAAGGATGTGGGGAGAGCTCGCAAGAGCACCAAGCGGCCCGCTGCCGGAATGAAGGTGGGGGTGAACGTGGGACAGGCCCAACGTTTCCAGACTGGGACCTGGGAAGACCACAATCGGAACCAGCCGACCCGTAAGCCGCTCAGCTGCAACTCTGGAAAACAAACGCCAGTGCCCACCCCCACCCCCAAAGGAAAGGCTGGCTTTCAGTTTCCAGAGAGCTGGAGCTAGAGCAAATCCTTGTCATGGGAAAATTATAGGGATCTAGCTAATAGCTAATCACCCATGGCCGAGAATCAACTTAACCCCTGAGAACACTGACTAACCGCTTCCTAACTTCTAAAAACAAGCCATCCACACCCAAACACCAAGAACCACGAGAATGTGTGGTTTAAAATTAATCTGACACAGGATTCTGGTTCACGTAACACAGAACGTCTGTCTAAATGACAAGCGACTATTTCAACCAACTCATCTGGTAGAAATGACTTTAAGGAGCGGACACCCCCGTCGGGGGAGGAGGGGGCGGGGGGGCAGCTGTTCCGTGGAGACTGACAGTCTTAGCCTGGAAGACAGGAAGAGTGAAACAACAGGCAAACGGCAATATCGCGGCTGTCTTTCCCTACCCTCCCCACAGCAGGGATTGCTACACCTCTCTGGCCCGCCTAATAAAAAAAGGAGAGGCAGCCGAGGACCCGGCCTCACCTCCTAACTAACGAGAGCGCAATCCCAAAGCATGAAAAAAGCAACCACAAGAGGCCACGGATGACTTCAAAAGAAAACAAATAAAAATACTGACCCTGAAGAGAGAGGCATCCACCAAGTTATCCCAGTTTAATAATATATGATTAAGATTCTCATGAGAAATTGAAGCCACTTTCCTCCGGTGATGATTCATCACTAAGTTTGATATCATTGGCAGGCATGTAATACAGTCAGCATGTGCACCCAGGAAAAGGAAACCCGTGTGCACTTGGGAACCAGAAAACCAGGGCAGTTTTCTCATGGCAGGGAGGAAGAAAAACAAAAAACCGTGTAATACATAATCCAAAAGACAACTGACAAGGCACTTGCCAGTCAGCCATCTCTCCAGCAGGACACGGCCTGCACTTCCTTAGCTGGAAGGTTCTGTTTTGCTTTTCTTTCAAGGGAGGGAAGAAGGAGCTGGGGTTGAGAGGCTATGCAAATGCCGCGTGGGAAAGTGGCACCTTAAGTAAACAAAGGCACCGCTGCGTGTCTGGGCAGGGAGTGGGAGGTGAGACTTCGAGAGAGAGAGAAAGGGCTCAACTCTGGAAACAAAGCCTGTTGTTCTGGCTGGGAGAGCCCTCCCCTGCAGCGGCACCGACAGCAGCAGCAGCCGCCGCCGCGTGTTTATTCTGATGACAGTAGCACAAATCGTGGCCTCCGCCGATACGCATCTGAGCAGGGAGCAGTCACTAATAGCAGCACCGAAGTGACTTTCTCCACAACACCCTTAATTAGCAAGAGTGAGCGTAGGTGGATTCCTGCGCACATCTGACAGCAATGCCGCTAAACCCTACAGTCACCTGCCACGCATGAGGGCATTGACGGGAGCCCCTTCGGCCTTCCACAAGATAAACTCTGTGAAATGCAGCCAGGGGTCCTTTCAGAAACACCTGTTCCTAGTCTCACCTCCTGCGAGTTCAGCGTCCCCTGCTGCATGGGACGGGAACAGATGGAGGGGCGGGGTTGTCAGGGTCAAGGCTTCAGAGCAGGAAGACATACTACGCAGCAACGTCATGGGGCAAACTTGTCAGATGCATATTCCTGAGATCACAAACCTGCACCTCAACAATCCCCTGGCTCATCCTGGGAATTAGGCTTTGAGCACCGAACTCTGGGGGCAGCGATTCCTGACCTGAAGTAGGGTCCCCCTGCCATCCTGTGACAGCAGCATCCCTTGGGCACTCATTAGAGATGCAGACCAGGGCCCTCCCCAGCCCTGTGGAATCAGGATCTGCGTATTAGCAACAGCCCCAGGTACCATCCTAATTTGAGGTGCACTGGTTTGCACTCTGCTCCATAAGCTGCCCTTGGCTCAAGTCAGAGCAGCTTTGGGGGCACAAGCGGCAGGCCCCAAGGATCCATTTAGTGTCACATTCAATCTGCTAATCCTTACAACTTGAGGTTGGGGGCGGGGGGAGAGAGGGAAGTGCAAGACTGTCAGAACGCTGCAGACACCACCAATATTTCCCTTCCCAAATTGGCATAATATACATTTCAAGACGTCCCCCCAAACCGGAATCAAGACGCAGTCAGGGTAGGTCTCTGTTTGGCTTCTGCATTGTTCCTGGACCATAAAAGAACCAACTTCAAAGGCCAGCAGCAAAAGTCTACATTCATCAGGCTCAACTGACAAGATTCCAGCGCAGCCATTAACCTCTCAGCACCGGCCCAGCTCCCGCCTGCAAAGGGGCCAGGAGATTGTACTAATCCCATTCTAAAGAATGCTGGACTTTCGCCTATTGATGGGAAAAGTGGGGGAGGGCAGGCAGAGGAAACACCAGGGTGGAGGAGGAGAGGGGCACAGCAACAAACCCACATCCCTCCAATCGAGTCCATTAGCACTTTAAGGGAAGATTATGAACGTGTGTTATCAATTTACAGAACAGTTAATACATGAAGTCACCAGCTATGCCCATCAGAGTTTCCTTTTCTCCCCCCAAGAGAGAAGTGCTGTGTGCATTCCACTGGACAGCTGGTATAATTTAATAAGCTTCGGATGTGCCTATCTGATTTTTTTTTTTTTGAAGCTTTCTCATCCTCTAAAGAAAAAGAGGCAATGCTCACAATAAAGTCAGCTCCTCTCTCTCACATTTTAAGAAATGTTAAAAAGCAACAGACCAGTCGAGTCATTTACCTGCAGTCTCCTGGGAGTTTGCAAGACCCGTGCTTGGGGCTACAGCCCTGCCGGCAAATAGCTGTAAGAAATCACAGAAGGAAACATCAGCGCACTGCCTCCATCATGAGAACGGCCGCGTACATTAAGCCTACAAAATCCACGATGTTAAGAGTTCTCACGTTAAGGCCACCGGAAGGAGAGCAAGACGGGAGGGGCCCAAATAAGAAATCCAGCTTTAAATTTCAAGGCCATGCTGGCAGATCCTCCAAACACACATGGGGACAAAATGCAGGCGAGTGGATGGGGGAAGGGGTCCTCATCCAATCTCACTAAACAGCAGTTTGCTCCTCTTGGAGCCCCAATTCCTAGCCTGCCTACATCCACCTTTATCAAAAGAGAAAAAGAGAATCCTTTCTCATCCCACCTGCTCTGCCCATCAGGGTGCAGTCAGATGAGCTCCTAAAACCCCTACAACTGTTTGGTTTCAAAAATCTCATGGGAGCCACAGAGCCTTCCACGCTGGCCTCATTTGGCAAGCTAATCTGGTGACATTTTCTTCCCCAAGCAATTCTTTCTTTATATATATATATTATATATATATATGAAAGATTGATGTCTTAAAAATATTCATTCAACATCACGGGTTTAAGTGACTGTTACTGATTTTTAAAATGCCAACTATTTAAAATATGTCAATCAATTCCTCCTTTCATATGAATTCCAGAAGTGCCGCCCTTTTTAAAACTCTTGTCACCTGTCAGTTAAGAAAGCAGCATCACCCAGGAGACCTGCTCATTCCTCCCGCATGTCCCCAGGTGAGGGTTCAAAAATTCATTTGAGTTTCAACAAAGAATCTGCCCAGTTATCCTACAAAACGGGCAGTCTGTTAACTGTTCCTGAGGGGACAGTATATGGTTAACTAGAGTCACCCAGCAAGTTGTAGGAATTAGAAATCACTGAATTCTAGAAGGGGCAAGGACAGCAGACAGCACCCAGGACTCTAGAAACTTCTACGCCTTTGGGGCGGGGGAAAAGGGGGGCTCAATCCCACAGAAGTAGGAAGGAGCAGGCGAGCCTTGCTCCGTGCCCCAGCACCCAGGGATGCCCAGCAGAAGCTCACGGGGCTACTCCGAGCTCAGACGTCAGTGGGCTAACCCAGTCCCACTGCCATCTCTTCTGGGTCAGGCTCCTTAGCAGATCCTGAGAAGGGGACTCACACACAGGAGGAGAGGGAGGGAGGCAGATGGAGGGCAAGAGCTGGGCCAAGAGGTGGCCTCAGCTGGAATCTGGCTTCTGCCTGGTCCCAGGGGAGGCACAGGCGCACGCACGTGTGTGTGGGTGTGTGTGTGTGTATAGGGAAAGGGGGCAGGCCTTCATACTCTGTCAGTCACTCACTGACCATGAGCTCTGGGGAAAGGAGCAGCTGGAAGCTACAAGGCGCCAGAGCGCTCAGCAGCTGGGGAATGGGTGCAACACAGCACTCCCAACAGCTTGCAGAGAACAGAACCTAAAGGTAAGCTCCCCTTGGTACAAAAAAAAAACTTTTCTGAAGTCCATATAATTCTTTGACAATACACATCTTCCGTGAACTTTTTTGCATGGTTTTCAAGACTCGTTTGCACCAAAATGTATGGGTTTATGCCTTTTGTCCCCCAAGCTCATCTGTTCAGCTTCTTCGCACTTAGGCCTGTATTAACTCCCAAAACACCACCCCACCCGAGACAGGAACACACCATCGGACCGCCCAGTGGGTGAGTATCTGACGCCAAAAGCCACAGGCGCACGCACCTCTGTTACACTCGGGGCCCATCCAGCCTTCCATGCACGTTTTGTTGCCGTTCTGGTCGCAGGCATAGTGACCGAAAAAGTCGTCTCTGGGCCGGCAGAACTTGTTGCAGCCAAAGCCGTAGTAGTAGTCATCACAGGTCACACGGATCTGGTACTCAAAGTGGGCCACCCCCGTGTTCTGCTTCAGCGTCTGCCACTGGCGGCTGGGGTTGATCATGCCCGAGTGGGAGGCCTTCTCAATAATGCTGTCTGGTTCTAGAGGCAAAAGATGAGCAAGAGAATCACATTAAGAATCCCCTCAGAGCCTCCTGCCTGGACCACGTCGGCTACATACATACATAAATAAATATGCATGGTGCAAAATGCAAACAGTTGTATAAAAAGAACAGAAAATGAAATGTCTGCACCCCCTCGCCAGAGGCAGACACTGCACTGTCGCCAGTTATGGACCCCTGCCAGGTGCACAATCCTGCATTGCCCAGGAGCTCCTTTAAATAACTTACCTAGGGCCCCAACCTCGGGCCGTTAGGCTGTTTTTGCTTTTTGCTATTAACCAGAGCCCCGAGGTGCATGTGCACGTGGCACCAGCACTAAGAAGCATCCTAGTGGAGGCACACGAGTGCCACCAACCCCCTCTGTGCGCAGAGAATCCCAAAGGACTCTCCAGTGAAGCCCTGCCAATCCGCACTTCCACCAGCACAGGAAACTGCATTTCCAGCAGCAGTGCCAACAGGGTTGATTATGGCTTTCTGATCTCTCCGCCTGATACGTACCCAAGCATCTCCTGTTCTAATTAGCATCTAATTAAGTGATGGTGAACACCCTTTCAGGTGCTTAGCAAACCCTGCGTATGGGTTCCTGTGAGCTGCAACCTGTTCCTCCCTTTGCCAACCTTCTTGCTACCTTGTTGGCCCTCCCAATTTGCAAAGGCTCTTTATGTATTACAGAAGGTCACATGTAAGAAATTTCACGAGCCCAAAGGTCAACACTCTCTTCCCTTCCACCTTTAGAGTTTTGGGCTTTGCTTAGAAAAAGATTTGTCTATTTTTGTGGCCTCACTGGAATTCAAGGAATAGAATGAGTTACATTAAAAAAAAAAAAAATGCTAACACAGCCACTTTTCAAGCTGGGATTTCAATAGCAACACCGCAGACCTAATGTCTTTCACTTTTTCCCACCACCTAAAAGTCAGGTGGGAGAATAATTCACCCTCGTTTAGAGACAGGTAAGCGAGGCCAGTGCTGTGGCATAGGTTAAGCTGCTGCTTCAGTGCCAGCATCCCATGTGGGCATCAGCTTGAAACAGGTCATTAAGGTTTGGTTTTTGTTTTTTTTGTTTTGTTTTGTTTTGTTTTTGCCAAGTTATCCTCTTTAAAGAGGGCTTTCTGAGGGGTCAGCTGCTGCCTGCGATGCCAGCGTCCTATGTGAGTATCGGTTCAAGTCCCCTTGGCTCCACTTCCAATCCAGCGCCTTAAGTCATCTGAGAAAGCAGTGGAAGATGGTCCAAGTGCCTGGGTTCCTACCACTCACATGGGAGACCTGGATGGCAATCCAGGTTCTTGGCTTTGGCCTGGATCAGCCCCAGCCATCTGGGGAGTGAAGCAGTGGATGGAAGATCTATCTCTGTCATTCTGCTTCTCAAATGAATAAATCTTTAAAAATAAATAAATAAAAATGCTTCCTAAGGAAAATAAGCCCAGAGTGCAAGTGGCTCTCGCAAGGACTAAGTGGTCCCTGCCCTGCCGTCACTTACAATCTAATCCGACATAAGAGACAGGTAGAAAAATCCGCTCCAAACACAGGTGCCAGGAGTTCAGGGGAGGGTTGTGCAAAGGCAGAAGCAGGGTACTAAGCCAGCACCCGTGCCTGGTTGTGTGTTTGTTTTCTTAAACCTGGCAGTGCTAACTCCTCACCACCTTGTCAAATTCAAGGCCACCTTGGAGAAACAGACTCGGGACCTGCTCACAAGGTCTGTGTGATTCTTACCCACCCACACGGCTGTTTTTCTAGGCCCTGAGCCTGTGCGCTCCCTCACAAAGCGAGCCTCACAAGCCCCGCAGGTGACCAGGAAAAGAAAGATTCCTGCGCGCTTCATCCGCACACTCCACTTCCAACACAGCCCTGGCATTCTCTCGACTGCCGCACGTGCCTTGAACAAGCCCACACACCTGCAGACCCACACCTGGGCATATAGCACTTGCACATATAGCACTTTTGTATTTGCAAAAACTTGAAGTTAATAAACACAGGCAAAAGACAAGCAAAAACGTCCCTCCATTAACTATGTTTGTTCTGCTGCTTTGGTCAAAATGTACTGCACAGTTACAAGATCTTCATGAAGAAAAGGATTTAAACACATTGCCCAGGACTCAAAAGCTTCCAGCGACTCTCAGGCCGGTATCAACAGCAAACAACTCCGGCAAGAGTCTGGGTGACCTGCAGGGTATGTACAGACTGACACGGAATGCTCAGCGGCTCACGGCCTTCTCCTTGTTTCCAGGAAATGCTGCGATGATCTCTTGAAAATCCTCAGGGGGCTCCAAGAAGCTGCCACCTGCTGCGGCAGGGTGCTGGCTTGTCCGTCACACGCTCTCCAGCGCCTGCACTGTTTGAGGGCGAATTTGCTACCTGCTTTTCGCGTGCTACTGCCTGAATCGCACTTCCCATCAGCGTGGGGCTTTCTGAATGTAACTGGGGCAGCTCCCTGGAGAGTGCAGCCTCGTGACCGGGACCGGATGTCACCACACCTCCCTGCAATCCTCAAGTGCCTGAAGACAGTGATCTCACAGAGCACCCACAACTGGCTTTTGGGCCAAGGGGGAAACCATGACAGACCCAGTGTCACGGCACCTGGCAAACCTAGATGGGAGTCTTAACCAAGGCGCCTAAGGAAAGCCTCGTCTCGTGCATGTCTATTTCTATTTACCTATTAAGCAATACAATAAACTTAAACCATGTACTCTGGGAGAGACAGAGTTAAGGCCTTTATACCCTCCCCCTGTCCCAAAATGTAACAGAAATGACTTCGGAGGACTGATGACAGGAGGGCCAAGCTCTGAAGATTCTAACACACACTAGAACAATCCTAGTCCACCCTGGACTTCCTTGAACTGTATTCTGCTCATAAGGGTTCGTTGTAGAACTGATGTTAGAAAGAATCCTGGCCTTCTAGTAAGTAAAGATGTATTTCCCAAATTCTGGGATATATCTTTAATTTCTATCAGAACTTAGGATGTTTGCAACTTGCTTGGGCCCCAAAGGGCAGCCCACTGCCTGGATTTCTCAGCCCTCATGGAGTCCAGTCCACCAGCAGGCACTCAGGATAAAAAGAAAAAGGAGCAAAACATACCAGGAGATCATGTACAAAGGCCCGGAGGCAGAGAACCTACCACGTTTGAGGATGGAAAGGCAACCGCTAGGGTATGGCTAGGATACAGAAGTGATGGACAAGCACATGGCATAGCAGACGAAGCTGTCAGGGAGACAAGGTCTTTGTGGGCCACATGATGATCTGTCCCCAGAACAGGAAGTCACCAAATGGTTGGCTTTTAGAAGTCAGGGAAACAATCAAATGTTATGCTCCGAGACCAGGACAGCAGGAAAATGGAGAAAGCACTGGAGGCAGATAGGGGCCCACCAGTCGGCAGGTACCCTAAGAGTTCAGAGTGAGCAGCTGGTGCCTTGGGCCAGCGCTATGGCAGTGGAGATGGTGGGAGGTGGCTATATTTGAGTGATGTGTCAATGATGAGATTTTCAGAACTTGGAGGTAGATTAACATACAGACGCTGAGAGAGTAGAGAGAGATGAGATGCCCAAGAGGCCTTCCAGATGTGTGGCTTACAGCACCGGGTGTTCATATACTGGTGCTTGTCTCCCAAAAGGGCTTTAGAAGAGGTCTGTGCTTTTGCAGAGGGAAGATCCTGAATTCTGATCCCCTGCTCCCCAGGGCTCACCGCGTGGGCCTCAGCAGCCTCCCAAGGTGTATTCCCGCCCGTCTTCCTTGTCCCCCTACAGGAATTCAGTTACTTCCCAGCCAAAGCCGAGAGGTCCCAGAAGCAGAAGATGGGGCCACTGGGAAAGGCAGACAGATGTGGGCAGCTCTGGACAAGCAAGCACCAGGTTCCCAGGGATGCTCCTTCCTGACCTGTGGGGCGAGGGAAGGCCACCCCTTGGGTGCTGGTGGGGTCTCTCTCTCTCTCGCATCCCTAACCAGTACCCTCACCCAACTCTTAGCACAAGCAGGAGCCACCTCAAGGATGTCCCGCCCTCCACATGGATGATTTAACAGCCAACAGGCAAGGGAAGGAGACCAGGCCTGCACCTGACTACCTGAAGAGCCTCTTTCTCCGCACTCCCCGCCCCCATCTTCCCAATGCTTAGTTACCATTGTCAACAGGTCACAGTGACATAACGCTCACTCAGTCCTCAATGTCTGTGGCAGCAGAGGGAGGGGAGAACAAACAAGTATCTGTGACCCTGACTGCCATCAGCCACAGCCAAGCTGGCACCATCCCCCAAACACACACACCCCCGTGGTAGGATGGGGTGCTGGCTCCCTGCATGCTCCCCACAGAGGAAGGCTCAGACCCTAGACATTCGCAGGCTCCCTTAAAGCAGGAATGATGACCTCAGAGCTGGACTGGGAGCTCCAAAACGAAGAGGAGTGACCCGGAGGGCATAGCAGCCTCAGGCACCCTGGGCTCAGCAAGGGTTCTCTGACCCAGAGCTGCCCCCTGGGCCAGCGGCACCGAAAGCCACCCTCAGAGCAGAAACCCAGCTCCAACAATGCCTATGCCGGACAGTCGCCAGTTTCAGGTTCTGTGAAACACCAAGACGAAGGGGCAAAGGATGCTAGCAGTGAGCACACAAAGAAAGCATCAGTAAGGGGGGAAGAAGTTGGGTCAAGGGGCCAGCATCCCATATGGGCGCAGGTTCGAGTCCCAGCTGCTCCACTTCCAATCCAGCTCTCTGCTATGGCCTGGGAAAGCAGTAGGAGATGGCCCACATCCTTGGGCCCCTGCACCCACGTTGGAGACCCGGGAGAAGCTCCTGGCTCCAGATCTGCCCAGCTCCAGCCATTGTGGCCATTTGGGAAGTGAACCAGCGGATGGAAGACCTCTCTCTGTCTCTTCCTCTCACTGTAACTCTACCTCTCAAAGTATTAAAATAAAAAGTTGGGTCAAGTCTTCATCATGCACGGACCAAGAGCCTTCAATATGAATTGGGGTTTCTAATGACAGCCACCCAGGCTCTGCAGGCACACAGGGTACCAGCAGTTTCAGCCCCATGAGGGAAAACATACATTGAAGTTAGGAAGAGCAAGGCTGCTGTAGTGGCCAGACTGCTACCTTCTCATCACACGCCCTCTGTGGCTTCTCCACCCAAACCCACCCACGCAGTCCAGTCCAGGAAAGTGACCTGTGCAGAAAACGGAGCATCTCTCCAAGGGGGATGAGACAGGTAATGGCTCCGAGGCCCTGGAATTCTGCCTCAATAAAAGGCTTGTGGTGTGCATTGTGGGAAATCCAGACGGGCCTGAAGCTCACCTGCCCACCGAGGGAAATTCAAGGCCGGTCTTTAGAGCCCAGAGCCACCTGGATGGGTTTATCTTTCTGATGGGAGATTAAACACTCAAAAGTTTAAATGGACTTTTAAAAAGTCATGACTTTGATCCCTGAGCAGCCTACAAGGTTTTAAAGTTGTAAAACCATTAAGATCTCTATCCCAAAGATAATCTAGGTCCCTTATTTCTTATTCAGGGGACTGAGTTAACTGGGAGTCTGTTCTGGCCACTTAATATTCCAAGCCCGGATGCCAGGCAGAGTTGAGCAGCAGACTCCACTGAAAGGCGGGCACCAGGCTGGGCGAGCCAGGGGCAGGGGGCAGTCACAGTTCCGACAGGCACTGAGGACACAGAGCCAGCTCTGCCAGGTCCCCCGACGTGATACTTACGAACAGTGTCGTTACTGGAATCCCACGCCTCCACAAGCAACGTGTAGGACCTCTGCAAGACAGAGAAACAACGGCTTAGCCGGTCAGCAGCAGTGCTCAGCTCTCCAGGCCTTCTCTTACAGCCCGCCCAACAGAGCCCCGAGGCCAAAATGAAGATTCTACTGTCCACTGCATGGAGGTCTTGGGTGTCTAAATGTAGACCGGGTCCCCTCCCCTCTCGCACACTCTCCCCAGGGTGACAAACGACTTGGTGGGGACCCACTGGGGCTATTACATCGAGGTGGTCCTAAGTCCCCATCAAGAAATGTCACCTCTCCATGAGAGAGCACTCAGCATATGGTTTTTCTCAAAAAGTTTCCAAACCCTAACCCTAATGCAAGGGAAAATACATACACACACACACACACACACACACACACACACAGAAAGAATTTATTCTAAGTTAACCTACCCAGGTATCTGTACCAAAGGGGTATTGCTAAGGTTACACTTTGGGGCCTGGTGGGGCGGTCCCCAGGGAGGCCCCCTTTTCCTTTTCAGAACCCCTTTGAAAGCCCTGTCTGTGTGAGACCATCCCAGCTCCCACAAGTATCAGGTAACCCTAGGAAGCAGGAGGGGGTAGGCGCAAAGAGACTCCCAAGACAAAGGCGGCCGCCTAACTTGGGCGGTGGGGCCGAGGGGTCAGACTGCGGGGAAGAATGTACAAAGGGAGAAATCCCCGCACACCCATGGGTTATATTTATTGATGAACTTATCTGTCAATAAGATCTAACATTCCAGGCATAATCAGAGTCTACTAACTAAACAAATCCCCTGGATACGGGCAAGATGCCAGCTTTCATACTGAAGGCACTTTTTTTATCTTCCAGGCTTATCTCACGATTGCCTACCTCCTCTCTCCCCCTCCCCAAAACCCACACTATTAGAAAGTGCCCGGTCTTACTCAAATCTTCATTTGTAGTCATTTACAATGAGGTCAGTCTCACAAAACACCAGGGTTTCAATGAACTGTCTGCTCTGTCTCTTGGCACTGGTGAAATACACCCAGGGCAGGTGGGCAGCCCAGGAACGTGAACCTGTCGGTGCATCCCTGCTCAGCTCAGTCAGAAACCCACACACTGGAAGTGTGTACTGATGAGCTAATGCTGGGCCGCCAAGCAAAGAGGCACCTGACAAGGCAAGTGCAAAGAAAGGGAGCAGGAGGAAAAAAAAAAAGCTTCATTCATAATTGGAGGCAAGCTCACTGCTCTCAAGGCGACACAGCAGGTCTCCTCTGAATATAAAAATATCTCCAAGATAGACCCAGCCTTGGAATTCAGCCGAAATATGTTTCATACTCAAAGCAGAGTAGGATCCCATTTCGTTCACTGATAACTGTGGGAAAATGCTCAGAGAAGCAAGCAGAACCGGGCAAGCCAGGGCACATACCCAGGCCTCTTCTGTGAGTGGCCATGGGTCCAAGTTCATTGTCGTCGTCGTTAATATTTTATTGGTGAAAGTTACACCTTATTTACAGCCTCTTTAAGTCTCTTAGGACTTCCTACAAATTACAGGACTCTTCCCAGAGAGCAGCAAGAAATTATGTTTCTCAACTGATTCTAGACAACAGCCTGGTGGAAACGAGGCCGGATGTGTGGCCAATTCCGTATAATTAAGCCCTTCGTTCGCTGGTCACGTCGAGGCCCACGTCCTGCACTTCAACAATATTGCTGTAATTAATTCTCTGATTAAATGCATTGATACCGAGAGTTCTGACAGACTTGCATAAGCGCTAAACACATAATACCCACAAATGCCACTGCTAGGGAGGACACCCCGGGACTGGACTGGCATGGCAGCAGTAGCCCCGCTCCAGTACCCACGGAACGAGGCTTCCTTAGGTCTTGCACAACCAAGCAAGGAGCTGCTGACCAACACCACCCCACCTGGAGGGAAACTGACGACTCACTAGGCTCTTAAGAGGCCTGGCTTGGTAGTGACTGCCACAGTCCACCTTCCTTTTCCAGGACAGACACGAGGGGAGGCTGCAGCCCTGTAAGCGCAGCAGAGCCTAAGGAACTTTCTAGCTCCCTTGTCTCACAGAAGGGATGAGAGCTCGGAGACTTGCCTCCTGGAGCCTGGATCTTCAGAGAAGAGGATTCCCTCCAAGGCTCCTATTAGGCACTCTTACCTCCCACTCCATCCCCACACTATAGATCAACAATCAAGATAACCCAGCAATGATTATTAGTTGCTAGGGAACTTTAATTTTTCCCAGGCCCACGCTTGACCTCTGTACATCCCCGAGGATCCATCTAGACACTCAGATCCTAGACCGGGCACACCAAAGCAGGTGCCAGGCCTCAGATCAGCAATCCGCTCAGATGAATTGCCCCAACCCATCAGTCACTGCAAACCTGACCCCCAGCGAGGGCCCCCAGTCCTGTATTCAAACTTAAGTTTTCCAACTTAAGTTCAGGCCAAGAAAACAGGAAAGACCTGGGCTTTTCATGATTTCAAACTAGAAAAACTAAGACTCTTAGGCAGGGTCACCTGGCTTTCATCTTTTTTTTCCTCCTCTCCTTAAGTTTTCCCAGATCAAGAGTCTAGGAGCCATGCAGGAGGGATAGGTAGTGCCCAGATCTTAGCCTGGATTTGCAAAGTGGTCACTTCTGTCCCTGTGCAGCTCTGGGCTCCAGGAAATCTGGCAACACAGAGGCTGGGTGCCATTCCCCCAGCAGCGTCAGAGAGGACTGGTCAGTTTGCAGAACTGCTTTTTGGGCAGTTTCTGTGGACTTTACCTAGAGGAGAGTCCTGGCATCAGCACCCCAAGGCGTCCTGGGGCCACCGGTTCCCCTTCCTACCCCCCACCGCTGGCCCACCAGCGCCTCCTCCCCGGGGCTCCACACTCTGCTGAGCTGTGCCCTGTCCCACTCCATGGCGGTTACCTTGGCACTGGGCAGAGCGGTAAGCACTTAATTGCCACATTAAGAAGGGGGGATGTAAGAAACAAAGGTAATTGTGTTGGCAGCTGGGAGCTTCCTTTTCCTGGCAACAGTGGCAGCCAAACCAAGCCCTGAGAAGCGGCTGCCTCCCCTCCTGCCAAGCTGAGGGACACAAACAAACCGCCATCCAACGGCACGCGTGCGGGCATCCAAACCCCAGGCCGCTGCGACGGGCAGGCGGGCCGGCCGGAGGCACGCACGTCCTGGGAATGCCTGGCGCAGCCATTGTGCGCGGTGGGTCGGCCCCGGGTCTGTCGGGGGGCCCTGCACTCTGCTGACTCAACTGCCGCTTCCTGTCGCTTGTCCCTGTATTAGCAGTATTTCTGGAGAGGCCCCATTCTTCTCCGTAATCCTCGATTCAGTCCATTCGGCCAACTCTATTGTCCCGCCTGCGACTGGGTGGCCAGGGTCTAAAATATTCCAGTCACAGAACGTAGGAAACAAAAACAGGTTTCAGGGGAGTCCATGTGTGGGCACATGCTTGCACACAGCATCCTCGTACCACGGAGTTCTGGCAAGGCGAGCGACGAGAAGACAACTCCCCTACACAGCTCGCGAGCCCAGCCTTCACCGTGGAAGGCAATCAAGTCTGCAGTGGTTGGCATGTCAATAGAGTCCGATCTGGTTACAAAGGGTGATTTTTCTCATCAAAGCCTACCTCAAAGGCTCACCAAGTGGCCCCAAAGCTCATATCCAGATTGGAGACTCAATGAGCGCCCCTATCCCCTTTCCATCATTACCCTTACCTGTTTGAAAAGCATCCCACTGATAATTAAATGCACCAGTTACAAAAGGGTGGCGAGGTTAATAGATAGAATACCGAGAAGCCAGCCAAGCTCAACGGTCCGGTTCACACAGAGCAAGCCCGAACAAGAAGCCTTTCTACTGATTTACCAAAAGGGCATAAAAACTGGGCTGAGCTGGCTGAGGACCCTGAAGGTCCCACTATTTGCATACCCTCTTTAACCAGAGGGAGTCACACCAGGGAATTTTGTCCGCACACGCCTGGTGCCAGTCATAGATGTCACTGACACCATCACATAGGGGGCCGAAGGGCTGCAGGGGTCCACGCAGCAGCCAGAAACCAGAAAACAGCACGGAAGTTATTACGCGGCCACTCGCCAGGGAAAGTGGGGCATTTCCAAACACCCAGGACCCTTCTCCCACCTCAATCACTGTTCTAAAGCCACTGCCCATGCCTTCCCCTCCCAACAACTGGACAAAAAGGCTAAGCTTGTTCCGTTCCAACTTTTTAAAAACTTTTTTTTTTTTTTTGGTATCCCATGTATCCCAATCTGGGGTTGTGGGGTGTGGGGGAGGGAAGGGGGAGGCATGCCTCTAGAAGCTTACCCAGGGAGAATTCTCAGGAATATTTGTTTTTGTGGATTACTATGCTAATTGTATGCATGTCCAGAGATTATGCATTCTTACATTGTAACTAATCTTAAAAGCCTGACATGGGGACCAAGTTCTGGCCCCTGTACAATAGGGCTGGTGGCCGTTAACGAATGCAGCCAAGGACTCTGCATTCCTGTTTTCAGGTCAGGAATGTGAAGATGACTTGTTGCCTTAGACCTGCTGTGGGTGTGTGTATGTGTGTGTGTGTGAGAGAGAGAGAGAGAGAGAGAGAGAGAGAGAAAGAGAAAATATTCTTTTCTGCATGCTAAACTGCCCACATGCCCACTGTCCAAGTGTAAAGACCTCAGGCAGCATTCACGTGGCTGGCTTTCTGGAAGGTTACACGTCTGCAAGCTGCTGCTGCCGCTCCTCCTTTTAGCACTCAACTCCCCCAACAGCCTCTGTGCCAAAACCTTCACCGTTTTCTCCAAGTGTTCTTAAGTCCCTGTAGAACTGTGGGTGTGGAGCTGGTGGGGTGCAAACTCATCTAAGTACTGGAGGTTTGAATAAGTTGCTAAGAAACATGACAACAAGGAGGAAAAAAACAGCGGTGGCTATACACCTGCAAGAGAAAACTTTGGAAACCAAGCACCTGGGACTGGGATTTCATTTTGGGAGCAGCATCTTGAAGACACATGACACAGTTCCGCTTCCCCCCAGCCTGGCTTTGCAAACGTGGACACATCATTCTGTAGACATATTGCTTCCGTCTGGGCTTTTTCTCCACGTGCACAAAGTCCCCTGCACTGAGCACTTACATATGACACGTGTGCATAACACACTGACCACACAGGTCAATCATGAGAACCCCATCCCTCTGCCCTCCATGGGTCCACACAGCTCTGAAGCCTCAGGGACTGGGGGAGGCAGCAGGAGGCATAAAGGCAAAGACTTGTCAATGGTATTTTGTGATTTACATGCTGGCAGCTGATTTACCCAAAGCCCTGGCAATTGGTCATTCAGGCCTAACATGCGAAGGAAGCCAAAGCTGGCATCCCCTCTGGTATGCAAGAATCACATTTCATTGGATTCTTCTTTAAAAAAAAAAAAAAAAAAAAGTTGATCTCAGCTAGCCTTTAAATAGGGCCAACAGTATTTAAATAGGAGACTAACAAGTTAGGTATTGCAATTGTTCCCCGCCCCTGCCACCACCCAATCACTCTTGGGCCACAAATCAGCCATATAGCTAACTAGGGTTCTGGGATTCCCAAAAAAAGTCGTGGCAATTACACTAATGCAGTTTTAATAAGCAGGCACTACTGGGATTTAGCACTAATTTTGAGAGGTGCAAATTAACCATTTCAGTGATTCATGAATGATTATTCCCAAGTCATTTCTTGTTAAGCCCAATTACCTCTCACAATGCTGTTCTTATCACTTGGTCCCCCCAACCTGAGCACCGTAAATCAGGCCGGGCGCTTCAAGCCCCTTGGAGCAGAGACGAACAACCAAAGCGAAAACTACCACGAGACAGGGGCCAGGGCAGGGGACTCCAAGTCGGCAGTGATCAGATCTGATGGGGCGGGCGGGCAGGCCCACCTCCACAGAGCATCTCACAACGGGCACACTGGAATGTGGACTGTGTTTCATATCTGCCCAAATCGTTTCCTCCTTTTCCTCTGCAGGACGTGAACAGTTGTTTGATTGGGCTTATACTTCCAAACAAAAGGCATGAATTGCGTGACCTTCCCTAACTGACCTACCCCTGCAACACAACCAACCAACAGCTCTTCCAGCGTCAGCAAATCTGGGAGGATGCACACAGATGGGAACTGTGGCTGCACAGGGGCCGGCAGCTTGGGGGGCTGGGGTTTGGGAGTTCTTACTTGCACATCACACATCTTCCACTCATTACCTCTGGAGTTCTACACTAAGTTCACTTACAACCTAGCCCAGAAATCAGCTTGAGAATGATACACTTATCAACTGCCAGACCGCACAAAAAAGTGCTGTCTACTTCAATACCAGCTCAGCTACCTAAGTGCTTTCCAGTGGACGCGCACCCCGGAATCATTGTCCCACGTTGCTGGTGGTGGGGTTTCTCCAAGCCACACACGGGAAAACAAACTTGAACGCGGCACCTATACTCCAGTTTCTCTTGGGAAGCAGGGTTTATGTTTCACGGGAGGCCTTTTTGGGGCAGAAGGGTGGCGACTTGTTTGCGAGTGATACATGCATTTGGCCCGACTTCAAAACAACCACACTCTCAGGATTGCCCCAGCAGTCTCCCCCATAGTAGCAAAGCCAAAGAGTCTATTTCATGGTTGGTGACCCGTGAGGCCCCAAACCACAGAAGAGCACCAGCAAATCACCCTGCCCTACCCTCTCACCCCACTTCCGCTCCTCGTCCACTGAGGACCCTCTATCCAGTGTCAGACCCCCTTCTTGGGCCACTTGTCCTCAGCCAGCCTGGCAAGCAAGCCTTCCAGTTTTTCCTGTAAGCCACCTCTGACCCTACTTCATAGAACGAACCTCAGCCAGGCCCGCAGCTTTTTCAAATCACTAACAGGATTCCTTTTATGGTCTTGTGAAAAGCAAGGGGCTCTGGGCTGATCCTCCCAGGGTGGCACCACCTGCAGGCCCCTTCCCCCTAAACTCCAAACACCAGTTCAAGGGCAGTCAGCATTCACACGCGGCTTGGGCCCAGCCAGATTTAAAGGTGGCCAACTTCTGTAGCTTAAAGTTCTCCCTAATAAGGGATTAACAAACAAGATAAACAGTCTTTGTAAAAGTGAAATCCCGCAGCAGAAAACGCTTTCAGAGCTCAGAATTCCACACGCAGCGCGGCGCGTTGTTTATCCACTAATACACATCTAGTGCGACCCATTCCAGGGCATGTTTTTGATTACTGTCTGATGTCACTCAAAGCAGAGAGCATTTCAGAACGCCGGCTCCTGGAAGTGTGGACGTTAACGGCCGCCTTAAGTTTCACGCACACTCTGCCCTCCGCTCCCACAGTTGCGGAGCCACAGCCCCGGCCGGCGGATAGGAGGCAGCAGAGCGCATCCCACCAGAGCACGTGGCGAAAAGCAACCCTCGGGGGCGCCGAGCTCCCCTCCCACCACCCACCCGCCCAGCCCCGGCCCTGGCAATGAGTCACGCCTCCTGGACAGCGGGAGCCCGGCGCAGGGCACACCCCCAACATTTCCCTTTCCTCCCCTTCTGCAATCGCACCCATCTTCCTTCCACCCATTTTGAGATGTTGTAAGGGCCTTGCTGCAGCTTTGCCAGCTGGGCCCGGGCCTCGAGCTCCTCTGGGATGATGGCGGAGGGAGGGGTGGGGGTGGGGGGGAGTTGAAGGTTCACGCACTCGCGCTGCAAGCACTACCTCTAGCGAGCCGCCCCTTGCAAAACCCTTGGCAAGGCCTGCGAACTTTCTGGGGACCGCGCGCCCGCCGGACGAGGGCGTGTGCCCGCCCTTCCCGGGGAAGTTTGCAAACACAGCTGTTCCAGGGCCCGGGAACCGCTGGAAGTGAGGCCACAAGGGCTTCGCCGCGCGGGGGCGGGGGCAGGAAGGGGCCGGCAGGGGGCGGGGGTTCCCGGGCCTGCAGCCCGCGGCGGCCGCCCCCAGGCCCCTCATGCCTCGCCAGGAGAGCGCCCCCGCACCCACCGAGATTTCCAGGGAGCAGCGGGATACGGGCTCCCCCTGCCCCCCAACACACACACACACCCTCCAGGAAGGACACACCCGCCCTCCCGGCCGCTCACGGGAAAAGGGAGAGTGCCAATTTGGACGGCGTTCACAGCCCAGAGCTGCGTCGGCTCGCCCTCCGCGGCGCACCGGGTTTAAGCGGTGAAGTGAATAGATCACCTCCAGGGACCTCCTGGCTCCAGGGGCACGGGGGTGGGGGCCTGTGTGGACTCGGGGACCAGTCGAAACCGGCCTTCCCGGGAGCGTGGCAATCGTTACCCCTTCTGGGGGTGCCCCCTTGGGCGCGCGAGGCAAACACCAGCGGAGATGGGACCCCAACCCCGCAAGTCTTAACTCTCCGAATGGAGTCTCCGCTGCCGGATCCGCCGCCCCGAAAGCCGCGCGCAGGCGGCGCAAAGTTGCAAGGCAAGGGGCTTTTACCTCCGTCCCGCAAAGGCCACGCGGGGCCGGGCGCGCGCGCGCGCCGAGCCCGTGGCGCAGAGAGGGGGCCACTCACCGGCCAGGCGAAACTGAAAGGCAGCACGATGCGGTTGCGGTCGTTGCCGCGGCTGGCTTTGAGGTTGAAGGTGTTGCCCCCGATGACAGGCGTGGACCCCGAGCCGAAGCTGCAGGGGCCCCCGGCCGTGACGCGGGACTGGTACTCCTTGAGGCACACTTTGAAGTACGTGTCACACTCGTCGCGGGTGCACTTGCGGTCCCCCGGGTTGCGGGCACCTCCGCAACAGTTCCCGTTCTGCAGCTCCCCGTTCACGTTCTGCATGGACAGGATCTCCAACTCGAACTGACCCGAGGCGCCGCACACCTGCCGGCGAGCGAGGGAGGCAGGTCAGCGCGGGAGAAAGTTGTTTTCTCGGAGGGTGGAGGCGGCGACTCCCAGCCCGCCCGCCCGCCCGCCCCGGCGAGCCCTCGGCGCCAAGTGAAAATAATTCTGGAAAACTGGCTTCGAGGGCCCAACGTGATTCTGGGGAAGCAAAACGCACAAGTGCGAGGGGAGGGAAAAAAAAAAAAAATCCGACTACGGCCCGGGGAATGTGCCCCCGGCCCAGCCCGGGGCTCCCCAAGGGGTAGCAGGAGCGCTCCCGTCCAGGCGCAGCCTCTCGGGCTCGGGGGGCCGGGCACCCACGGGCTCGTCTCGTCGCCCGCGTCCGGGGCGCCCACGAGGGTAAGGGGTGGGGTGGGGGGGTCGGCCAGGAGGGAGGCCCCGGCGCGAGGCTCCTACCTTGGCTCGCAGGGCACAGAGCAGGGCGAGCAGGAGGCTCAGGGGGCGCCCGGGCCGGCCGCGCGTCCGTGGGGACCGCATCGCTGCGCCGCGCGCCGCGCGCACTGGGGACGCCGCCGCCGCTGCTGCTGCCGCTGCTGCTGCTCGCGCTGCTGCTGCCGCCGGTGCTGCCGTCGCCGCTGCCCCCGCGGCCGCCGCGTCCCGGCTCTAATATACTCCGCCGATTGGAGCATGCACGACTGGAAAACAACACCACTTTTCAAAAGCCCTTTCAGGAGCGGCCCGTTCCAGAAGGCGGAGAGCCCGGCCTCCTTTTATTATTCTGATCGCTTCTTTGAGGCGCTCCCCCTCCTCTTCCACCTCCCGGCTTTCTTTCCTTCGCTCACGCTCCCCTTCTTTTATTATTATGGTTATGCGCAGCCTTTTATTCCCTTTCAGATCAGCTGCATGGGAAGGGGGGGGAGAAGAAGGAGGGAGGAGGAAAAAAAAAAAAAAAAACCCGAGCCTAGCTCGCCGGCCGGCCGGCTGCAGGTAACACAATGACGCGTGCCCGCCTGGCTCTCGGAGAGGGACCCGGAGCGCCGGTCTGGGAGCCGCGGCTCGCGCTGGCCACCTCTACCCAGCACGCGCGGCAAGGCGCATGCGCGCTTATGAATATTCATGAGGGGCCGTGAGTTCTTGGGACACGCCCCTTCCCTCCTGGTGGACGGGGAGGGGGCCGGCGCGGGGAGGAACTTGGAAGGGGCCCGGGGCTCGTGGACGTCCAGGGCCCCCTCCGCAACCCGTGTCCACGGGAGCGCCGGGAAGGGAGAGCGCGCAGCCGCTGCTCCGGGGCGCCGCGGGCGCCCCCCGCTCCTCCACGGGGACCGCGCCCCGGGCCCGTCGGGGCCCCAGGTGTAGGCGCCGCGGTGCTGCCCGAGCGGCCGGAGCGGGACAGCTTCCGCCTTCCGAGCCGCCTGCGTCAGCTGCGGCTTTCGCCCCTGGAGGAGGGCCTGGCCGCCGGGAGCCCGGCCCGCTTCCCGGGAGCGAGCGAGCCGCCCAGAGCGCTCGGCTGGCGGCGGCGAGGCTGGCGCGCTTGCCGCCGTCTGCTCGCCCTTGCGGAGGCGACCTGGGCTTTAGACGCGGCTTGGGAACTTTGGAAAAAACTTGCCCGGAGCCAGGCTGGCCGCAGACTCGAGGGGGAGGCCTCGGCCGCGCCCCTCCCCCTCCCAAATCCGAGTCTGCGGAACCTGCGAGGGCTGCGGGCTTCCTTTGCTAACCGCGGCGAGCGGCGGGCCAGCCGGAGTCCGGTTCAGGCTGGACGAAGGGCTGGCGGAGGTGGAGGTGGAGGTGGGCTTGCACACCTTCCGCGCCGCGCCGCCGGGACCGCAGTGCCCGGTTTGCACCTGTAGGCGGCCTCCGAGCCGCTCGCTGGGTGGCAGGCGGTGGGCCTGGCAGGCACCGTCTCACCGCCCAAGCCGGCCCTGGACTTGGCTTTTCTGGGGGCGGCGGTGGGCACCGATGCTAGGCTCGCCTTGGCAGTGAACAGACGACGCTTTGGGTCGTAAACAAGGGCAAAGGGAACCCTGAGGCTGGGTGAAGACTCAGCCGAGCCCTCTCCCTGTGGATTTGCTGCTGCGCGTGAGGGGAGCTGTTTGGGGAAGCATGGATTTCCCTCGCAGGAAAGTACATCATGAATTCTCAGCCCACTGGACGGTGGATAAAGAATTAGCTTGCACTGGGCATGTGCTGCCAAAATGCCTGATGATTCGGCGGCCAGTTTGGGGCTCGACCCTCCTGGGCTGTGAGGCGTGATGGGTGGCGGCTATAGGGTCAAGGGAAAGCAGTTTCCAACGTGCTGAGTTACTGAAAGAACAGCGGGTGGTCTGTAGTTACCTACTTCCTACGTTTGATGGGGAGCTCGACGTGCACAGTGCCCGATGTCATCTTTATGGGGAATCAAGCAAGGCACTCCTTGACATTGATTCGAGTCTAGGAAGGATGGTGAGGAATCTGCATGTAACAGCCAAACAGAAAAACAAGATGTGCTTAAGAACGGTGCTTTTTTTCATGGTTGAAACGTCCCATCTCGATCGATCCTGAGAAAATGAATCCGTATTTTGGAAGGGTTCATCACTGGTCATGTTAGCAGATGGCAAAGGCAGCAAAAACTTGGGTATTTGGATGTGCCCCGCCCGCCTCCCACCAGTTGTCCCAGATGCATCCAGTTGTTAAGTGCAATCCCAACTAGCTTTGACCGAAGTTTCCAGAAATAGCAGTCTCCCCCACTTCCTATCCCCCAGCTCACTTCTACACCCAGAACCCCTATGTTAGAGCGCTAGTACAAAATGTGCTGGGGGGAGGGGGGAGAACAAATCACAAAGAAAGCTGCTGTGGTCCTGAAATGCACATTCTTTGCATTTTAAGGAAATGCATGGTTCCTTCTGAATGCAATTCTGTACCTACGCTTCTCAGGAAGTAGGGAATGGAGCCTTGTGTTTAGTTGAAGAGTGTATACCCAGCCACCTGGCTTAGCCTGGGAGGCCGCCTTGGATAGCAATCTTGAGTTACCTGTAAACCGAGGTCAGCTCCAGTCTAGCGGTGATTTAGCCTATTTGACTAATAGGAAACAGAATATGGATTTCTCAGAGGTTAAAAACCACCTGATTTATCTTAACAGGAATGTCAAGTCAGTAATAAACTCTCAAGGCAAATAGTACGGAGTTCTCTTTCTGAGCCTGGGAACTCACTTTGAGGGAAGGTAGTTGCGGATTTGCGGGGATTCTTTTGAAAATTTTCTGTTGGGGCTCTTCCAAGTAATTGGGACTCCCCCAAAAAAGCCAGTCACGTTTGTGGCAACAGATGCTGAAGGGGAGCTCTGACCTGTCACTTCCTCACAGCCAGTTCTCAGCCTCCCTCCCTGGAGAATGAGGAACTGCCGCTGAGGTCAGCCGTGGAGATCCCCGTCACCTAAGCTGCCTGTGGGTAAAGGCTTCCACGTGTGGGTGCGCATCACGTCTCCACCTGAGAGTCGGGGAGAGGCCTGCCTCGTGTGCTCACATCATAACCATCCTCGAATACCTTTCTCCTTCGATTCTAAAAGAAAGATACCTCATTTTCCTTTTTTCACCAAACTTGCCCCGCCTTTACTCAGTATTCACTGACAGCAATCCTGAACCTCCAAAGGGCTTAACAAGAGATATTCAAGCTACATTAACTGTATTTAAATAATATAAGCAACTGGAATTTTTAATCCAAAACAAAAATCAGCTAATCAATATTTACTGAAAACTGTCATTCACATAGGAACATAGCTGATGTAAAAAATATGCTGAGTGAAATAAGCCAGATACATCCTGAATAAACCCACTTCTATGAAGTTTTGAAACAGGCAAAACTAGTCTATGGGGAAAAATACCACAGGGGTGATTTCATGTGGGGCGGGTGGAAATTGCCTGGGATGGGCGTGAGGCTCTTCTAGGGGTAGGGCAGGATGAAGTGTTATATCTTGATAGGGTTTTGTTACACAGCTGTATTCGTTTGTCAAAATTCACTGAGTAGTACATTTAAGGTGGGTGCATTTCATCATACTCGTATATTCAAAAGAGGAAAAAAAGAATTGTAAGCAAATAATCACCTCCAGTTATGTGAGTGTAGACTTCTTTGGGGGATGTGAAATACTGTCTGCAACTTATTTCAACATGCATAAAGTTGTATAGGATTGGAGAAGGTGGCTGGGCAGATAAACAGTACAGGCTAAAGCAGGATGGTAAACTACTAATGGTAGAATCTAGGTGTTACACTGCTATTCACTGCATAAGTCTCTCAAATTATTCTGTTTGACAATTTTCATTATAAAATGTTGGGGGAAAGCTAGTGATGTGCCAGGTATTGTTCAGGGTGCTGAGAACACGCTAAACACCACCAAAATAGTGGATTTACCCACCATAGAGTGAAAGGCTATGGGTACGGCATGGTGATGACATAGTTTGGTGAAAGGTAGTTCCTTCCCTCATTGCTTTTCCTCCTAATTCCTTTCTGCATTCCACTGAGAAAGGTCCAAATTACAGAGGGAGCATAAGAAATAGCCTTGAATGTATTCCTTTTTCCCTGTCTGGACATCGTAGAGAAGTTAATGCAAGTTCACGAGTCATTATCTCTTTGCTCCTTTTCAACAGAGCCCAAGGATGCGTTTGTGTCCCATGACGTTACCTCCCCGGAAACTTGGTCAAGCCCCAGTGAACTCTGCACAGCAAGCATCCTAAGGAAGCACAGCATTGCAAAAGTCAACCATCTCCATTAGTTATTCTCATTCTTCCATGTCACAGATATTCCATATGGAGAAGACGAAAGCAATCACCACCTCTGGACAACAAGTTACACATTAAAAATCGGGATAAAGTTATAGCTCCCACAGCAACCATAGCCAGGCCACAGGTTTATTCATTCAAGCAGAACTTGAGTGGGTCCAGCCATTTTCCCCCTCAGAGCTTCATTTTACATACACAGGAGAGCTAAATGAATTTGCGGGGAAAATCGAAAGTATGCATTTCTTGCATTACCAACAGTAACTTTGAGTTCATTGTAAACATTGTCTTGGTTTTGCCCTGAGCACAGGAATTCATGATTTTACCCTCCCTGTCCCATTCCTGTCTCACTTACTATGTAGAAATGCATCAGGATGAAGAGATTTACCTATCAATATCCACTTTAATGAACAAATCATAGAAAGTCACCAAAACACAGGATACAAAATCTAGGACCCATGGGACTGATAGTCCTTATTTTACTCCTTGAGTTTAAAGCAAGTATTTTTTTTTTTTTGGTGACCTTTCATAGTTATATTGGAACTTTTTTCTTAGAGTTGGCGATCTTTATTTGAAGAAAAAAAAATCCTGAGTGTAAATTGCTGTTACATTGGCATTCTCAAAACAACTGTAAATGATTCACTCACCTTCCTTTTTGTGGTGCAGAAGTAGTAAATTGTTGTTGCTGTGAGTGGCACCTGAATGACTTGACCCATAGATATTCTGGGATAACATTTTTTTTAAAACCAAAATTGGTCTATTTGTATAGTTGATTGACTTAAATGCAACTAACAATTTTCTGTAATTGCGAAGTGTGACTGAGCTCTTACAAGCCTTTTCATCCAAGAGGCTCTGGAAATTACATTTCCTGCAACAGGTAGCTTTTGGAAACTACACCACAATTCTCTTCGTAAGCACCTTTTTATCTCACTTGCACTTGGCTTTTCCAAACAAACTCAAACACAACTATATGCCTCTAGAACAAAAAGAAAAAAAGAATCAAAGTAGTTGTTGGAACTTGAGAAAAGGAGTGCTAAATATATTTAGTAACCCGGGGAAATTTCAAAACATAGGTAAACATGAGACTCAAAGAAAGATGATTACACCTGCCAATGGCATGAAAGCAATAGAGGTTTGAATCGCAGTATTTGCTGTTTGGGTTAATGGTCATCAATAAATTAGAAGACTGTGTCTGTGTTTGACACTTTTGTTCTCAAGCCAGTGGTTTCTTTACTGATGGTTTCCTCTACATTAGAGCATCAAAAGTGGATGATCCGCCATGCTTGTGTTTAGGTTTTCATTGGGAAGTAAATAGTTGT